ACACACACAACAACCCCCAAAACCACAAACCAAACACTTTGCTCACAAAACCCCCCACCACAACACACACACAACACATTTTTAGATAACTGAAGCGCTAAACATCCCCAACAGGATTTAAAAAAAAAAATGGGGCCCCAAATGGAGGGGGTAAAGGCAAAGGGGAAATGGGTGATGGGGGTTGGAAAGGAAGAATTGGGGGAACCTCAAAACAAAATGGAACAACAATGGGGGAAAAAAAGGAAACAGCTTTGCAATAACAGTTAGAGCAAATATCTGCAGAGAGCAAGAAGTGGGAATCCGAGCTTAGTAGCTGAGGCAAGTAAAAGATTGGAGGAAGAAAAAAGGGGTGCTGAAGCAGGATCTAAAGATGAGTCCGAAAGGAGCAAGTTGACTGAATTGGGAAAATCAGGATGGGCTGCAGGGGATGAAGGAGGGGGATGGATCTAGCAGTCTTTTTGCAGCTGTAATATCAGGCCATCATGCTGTCTGGAGATGATTAGGGAAACAGAAAGGAGATGCTTAAATCAGATCAGGAGATACAGAGGGGAAAAGAAATGGGAAGAGGAGAGGGAGATGGTCAATAATTATTCATGGGCTTCAGGAGGCTGAAGGGCAGACCTATGATGAAAGAAACATTGGGAGGAAAACAGAGATAAGAACATCATTGCAGTACAGGAGAGGGGACATGTCTCAGGTGAAAATTTTCACAGACTTGGGAGGGTATTCGAGGGAAAAAAATCGAACCAACTCAGATTGAGACATTCAAGTCAGATGTGGTAAGGAACAGGGATATTACCAAACGAAAACCACTGTTAAAGGACGCTCCAGATTATCAAAAAGTGTTCCTTTAATCGAGACAGAAATTGAAAAGGAAAGGGAACAACTGTAAAATGAGAGAAGACAGAAACCAGTGGTGGAAGGAAAGGAGAGACAGGACAGGCAATGACAGACAGGAAAATACTCTGTCTTTGGGGGGGAAACATCAAACACAAATTCTTACAGAAACCTCTAAACCCCTGTCACCAATATCAACCAAACACATGTAATCAGTATACGAACCTCACTCCATAGCCACCTACCCCCAAGCACTAATTCCACAATCACAGCAGCCCTCCCATAATATGGTGCCCTGCCTCCCACCCCTCCAGTCTGTACCTTCCTCTTCCATCTCCCAAAATACAGTAATGGAAGGAAGCTAAATGTACGGTACACCAATACAGATGGAATAACAAATTAAGAGTGAAGAGTGGCAAGAATGCATGCCCATTGATGGCATCCCTGACATCAGTGCATACGACAGAGTCAAACTTACAGACAAAGCCTAACCTCATAGTGGGAAAATTTTAAAATGGGAAAATAAATCAATAATTGCGGAGGCAGTTCGTAGCCACCTTGAAAAGCATAATTAATCAAAGAATCTCAGCCATGGTTTTACAAAGGGGCGTTCCTGCCTTACGAATTTAATAACTTTTTTTCTCTAGGGTATTTGAGGAGGTAGTCATGGTAATGGAATTATGATATGTGTATTTGGACTTCAGTAAGGACTTTTGACAGGGTCCACCTTCAGAGACTATGCGGAAAATTAAAACACATGGATATGGAATAGGAGGAGAAATTTTTTCCTGGATAGAGGCACCATGGTTGACAAATAGGCAGCAGAGAGTTTGCATTAATTGGGGAGAAATCAGAGTTGGGGGAAGCGTCACGAGCGGTGTTCCACAGGGGGTCAGTGTTGGGCCCCTGCTGTTCACAATTCATAAACGACTAGATGTGGCATATAAGAGTGACATCGGCAAGTTTGCGATGACACAAAATAGGCCGTCGAATTCATTTGGACGAGGACATTCGAGCACTCAGGGAAGATTTGAAAGACTGATGCAGTGGTCGGAGAAGTGGCAGAGCAGTTTAATATAGACAAATGCCAAAGTTCTAAATGTTGGACAGGACAATAACCATGCCACAATATAAACTAAATAATGTATGATCTTTATTATTAACGGATTGCGAAAAGATTTAGGAGTTATGTTAGCGAGTAATCTGAACCAAGACAACAGTGCCATAAGTGTTCGCAATAAAGCTAATAGTATCCTTGGCTTCTTATCAAGAAGCATAAATAATAGGAGTCCTCAAGGTTGTTCTTCAAACTTATACATCCTTGTGTTAGGGCCTCATTTGATTATGTGCACAGTTTTGGTCACCGTATTACAGGAATGGATATAAATTCTCTGGAAATGTACAAAGGAGGATGACTAATGTTGATCCCATTGTATCAGAAACCTTCCTATGAGGATAGACTAAGGGCCCTGAAACTGCACTCTCTAGTAGACGTAGAATTAGGGGGGGGATATTGTTTGAGGTGTATAAATGGAAGACAGGAATAAATAAAGGGGATTAAATAGTGTGCTGAAAATATTAGCCTAGACAGGTCTCGCAGCAATGGTTTTAAGTTGGGAAAATTCAGATTCAGGAAGGTATAGGAAGTACTGATTGTAATTAGAGTTGTGGATGAGTGGAACAAACTCCCAAGTTACAGTTATAGAGGCCAGGGAAAAAAAACCGTGTGTAGCTTTAAAAATAGGTTGGATAAATACATGAGTAGATGTGGGTGGGTGTGAGTTAGACCTGACAGCTTGTGCTACCAGGTCGGTTGCCGTGTTCCTCCCTTAAGTCAATGTGACCTGACCTGACTAGGTTGGGTGCATTGGCTTAAGCCGGTAGGAGACTTGGACCTGCCTCGCATGGGCCAGTAGGCCTTCTGCAGTGTTCCTTCGTTCTTATGTTCTTATAACAGATGCAATTTTTCCACCTGGATATCAGGTTATGAGGAAAGACAGAGAGAACAGAGGAGGAGGAGGAGTAGCATTGCTCATAAAAAACCAGTGGAGTTTTGAGGAGATGGGAGGAATGGAAAGAAGGGAAACAGACGACTTCATTGTAGGAACACTTCAGACTGGTGGTCCAAAGGTGATGATAGCAGTGATGTATAACCCACCACTTAACAGCAGGAGAACAAGAGAAGAGTATGATGTGCACAATAGGGCAATGGTGGATACACTAGCTGAAGTGGCCAGGAGGGCTCATATGGGTAGAACAAAATTGCTTATAATGGGGGATTTCAATCATAAAGAGATTGACCTGGAAAACCTAGAGCCACATGGGGGACCAGAAACATGGAGGGCTAAGATGTTGGAGACTGTATTGGAGAACTTCATGCATCAACATGTTAGGGATACAACCAGAGAGAGAGGAGAGGATGTTGCAGCAAGGCTGGATCTCATATTCACCTTGAATAGTTCAGACATAAGGGATATCACCCACGAAAGACCCCTTGGCGCTAGTGATCACGATGTCCTGAGTTTTGAATATCTTGTCGAGTTAAAAGTAGAGAATGCAGAGGCACAAGAACAAAGAGAGAAACCAAACTTCAAAAAAGGGGACTACATAGGAATGAGAAGTTTCCTGCATGAAGTGCAGTGGGAAAGAGAACTAGATGGAAAGACAGTAAATGAAATGATGGAAATAGTAACCACTAAGTGCGGGGAGGCAGAGGAAAGGTTCATACCAAAGGGCAACAGAAAAAATGGTAAGACCAGAGTGAGCCCATGGTTTAATTGGAGGTGTAAAGAGGCCAAAGCCAAGTGTGCTAGAGCATGGAAAAGGTATAGAAGGCAAAGGACTCAAGAAAACAAGGAGCTGAGCAGAAGAACCCAGAAACGAATATGCAAGGATAAGGAGAGAGGCCCAGAGGCAATACGAGAACGACATAGCATCAAAAGCCAAATCTGAACCAAAGTTGTTATACAGTCACATTAAGAGAAAAACAACAGTCAAGGACCAGGTAATCAGGCTGAGGAAAGGAGGAGGGGAGCTCACGAAGAGTGACAAAGAAGTATGTGATGAACTAAACAAAAGATTTAGAGAAGTATTCACAACAGAGTCAAGAATGCTTCCAGCAAACTGTGGAGGTAGGGTGCACCAGCAGGCGCTGGACACAATAAATGTAACCAAGGTAGAGGTGAAGAAACTGCTAGACGAACTCGATACCTCAAAGGTGGTGGGCCCAGATAACATATCTCCATGGATACTGAGAGAGGGAGCAGAGGAACTGTGTGTGCCATTAGCAGCAATCTTCAGTAAAAAATCTATCGAAACAGGGCAGTTGCCTGAGGCGTGGAAGACAGCACATGTAGTTCCAATTTTTAAGAAAGGGGACAGACAGGCAGCATTAAACTACAGACCAGTGTCACTGACTTGTATAGTATGTAAAGTCATGGAAAAGATTATCAGGAGAAAGGTAGTGGAACACATTGAAAAGACTGGGCTCATACATGACAGTCAGCACGGCTTCAGAGATGGGAAATCCTGTGTCACAAATTTACTTGAGTTCTACGATAAGGTAACAGAAGTAAGACAGGAGAGAGAGGGATGGGTAGATTGCATCTTTTTAGATTACAAGAAGGCTTTTGACACAGTACCACACAACAGACTAGTGCAAAAATTAAAGGAGCAGGCAGGAATAACGGGGAAAGTACTGCAATGGATCAGGGAATACCTGACAGGAAGGAAACGTGTGTTGGTACGTGCTGAAGTGTCGGAGTGGGCGAATGTGTCGAGTGGGGTTCCACAAGGTTCAGTCCTAGGCCCGGTGCTGTTTCTTGTATACGTGAATGACATGGTGGAAGGAATAGATTCAGAAGTGTCACTGTTCGCTGATGATGTGAAACTGATGAGGAGAATACAAGTGGGCGAGGATCAGTTAAGATTACAAGGGGATCTGGACAAACTACAATTATGGTCCGACAAATGGCTCCTGGAGTTTAACCCCAGTAAGTGTAAGGTCATGAAGATTGGGGAAGGACACAGAAGACTGCAGACGGAGTACAGGTTAGGAAATCAACAGCTGCAAACGTCAGTTAAAGAAAAGTATCTTGGGGTAAGCATTATAACGAACATGTCCCCTGATGAATTATTGTTTAATAAACTATAATTTACTATACCTGGCTTTCTTTTAGATGTCTTCCCAGTAACTTCATCAATTATATCTTTGAACTCTTTACTTGTTTCTGAGATACCCAAGATCTTGTTAATGCGGTTGCGGTCAGGTGCAGGAAAGTGCTTCTCTACTAAAGTTTCCATCACGCCTGATAAAACAGAAAGCATACTAAGATCATTTTATTGGTTATCAATGTTAATTTGTCATGTTACACCATCATGCTGTTATTTCCTTCAAAATGTTACCTCCTCATTTAAAATTTACAACCATCATTTTTCATGTGGTTATTTCTAGTAACCTAATCAAATGTGTTTTAAGATTTCATTGCACAATGTACATGCATATTGTATACCAATTAGTATGTGGGGATGGGGGGTCAACTTAGCTGAAGGTAACAAAGTACACAAGAATAGTAGAATAGTACTGTAGTATACTAGTAGAATAGTACTGTAATACAGTAAAAGTATAGTACTGTAATACAGTAAAAATATAGTACCGTAGTACTACAGTACTGAAGAGAAGTTGCAGCAATTGGTGGATCACTTTAGGAGGGTATGTAAAAGAAAGACATTTAAAGTAAACAAAGGAAAGAGCAAGGGGATGAGTAACAAAATATTTAGGAAAATGAGTGACTGGAAGGAAGAAGTATGGAGGAAGTGATTACGTTCAGATACAGTGGACCCTCGTTTTTCGTAATTAATCCGTTCCAGAGTGTGTGACTATTATCGAAATTGACGATTTGCGAGTCCATTTTCCCCATACAAAATAATGTAAATCCAATTAATTTGTTCCAGACTTCCAGAAGTATCAACAAAATGTTTTTTTTTTTTTTACCTTAAAGATAGATTTACATGCACAAAAGAATGAACATTCAACATGACAGTTACCTTGAAGGCTGTTGTTGATGAATGGAAGACAGGGAGGAGGAGAGAGGGAAGAGAGGTTATTTTTTGGAAGGGGAATTCCTCTCCATAAGGGCTCTAGGTCACTTCAGGTGTCACTTCCCTAGCTTAAATATAGATTTACATGCAGAAAAGAATGCCAAATAAATGTAAATCAATAATAAAATGAATAAATTAAGATTTAACATCACACTTACCTTTACTGAAGACTCTTGGTGTATGGCAGATGGGGCAGAGGGAGGGGAGGTGAGTTTATTGTTGGAGAATATGACACAAATATCAGCTCTACGGCTTATTTATCTATCACAATTCAACTAATATGACATAATAAACAATATTAATAACACAGAAACATAGAATATACTCTAGAATGAGTAAAATAAGTCATTATATATGAAACAAGAGGTGTTGTGCTCTTGTTGTTGGGTGTATAAGGGCCACTGAGAGCATAAGCCGTCCATAATGGTGGTGAAGCAGCAGCTGCGGCGGCGGTGTTTTCTGTAGCCTTATATAACTCCAACAACACTGGAGAGTTAGTAGAATTGCTTAATCACTGAAGAAGGCACCCTCTTACCACCATCACTGCCACCCTCTACCACTATCACAACTGCTACCACCATCACTACCACCTTCTACCACCATCACTACCACCCTCTTCCACTATCACAACTGCTACCACCCTCTTACCACCATCATTAACACCCTCTACCACTATCACAACTGCTACCACTCTACCACCACCACTTTTGTATTTTTCTACAAACGTTTTCTTAAATTGTGTGTTTCTCACATGCTTTACCAAAGGGCTGGCACTAGAAGCTTTCTTTGGAGCTACAGTGACTTATTTAGCAATTACAAGCACTAAAATGAATGGAATATTATGAAATGTATCTTATGAACTTGTGGGATCATCCTCACTCACTGATAAACAATGACACGCTGGCTGGGAATGGAGTGTGAGGCAGCTCGGGGCTGTGTACGTGTCCCAGACAAACGACTGTTTGCAAGTCAAACGACGATTTGTGAGTCAATGTTTCTATAAAAAAAAAGCTACGATTTCTGAAAATTACGACTTTCGAGCCTAACGAAAAACGAGGGTCCACTGTACTTGAGAGCAGACTTGTCGGCAGATGGGTCTATGAAAGATGAGGTGACCCATAGGACTGATGTGGAGAAAAAAGGTGGATGATGCCATGAGGCACCGGTGGAAATAAAGACCGTTATCCACAAAGGCAAAAAGGGTAATGTAACAGAGTACAGTGGTACCAACACTATATATCAAGCATGGGTTTCAAATGGTGCAGGTGAGGAGGGTGGAGGCAGTGGATATGTCTCGTTTAAAGGCAATGTGTGGTGTGAAAATCATGTAAGAATTTGTAGTTCTGGAGATTAGATGATTTGATGTATAAATCTATAATGGAGGGAGAAGGGGTAGAGGCCATCCTAGGAAAGGTTGGGGTGAGAAGGTAAGATAGATTTTGTACACATGTGAGGGACGTGAACATCCAACAAGTGTGAGTGTTGGATGGGAATGGAGGCAAGTGGTTTCTATGATTTGATGTGCTGATACTTTGAGCAAGTTGACATTTATGAAGAGATTCAGGGAAACCAGTTAGTTGGATTTGAGTCCTGGAGAGGGAAAATAAAGTGCCTACACTCTGAAGGAAAGGTGGGGATACTGCAGTTTGGAGGAGCACCTAAGATGTAATGCTGATGCACCAGTGAGAAGATGATGGAATAATGGTGAAAAATTTTCTTTTTCAGGTCACCTTATGTTGGTGGGAGATGCCCAGTGTTAAAAATAAATAAAACATAACAGAAATGAAGCAAATGTTACTCACCTTTAGCTGTAGATACAAAATCTGAGAGCTCTCCATCATCTCTTTCTAGCTGTTCTAATGTTCGCGCCTCTCCAGTAGATTGTAAACCAATAACGACACATCTGTTAGTTTTAACAGCCTCACGAGCTAATCTGACTGCATGGTCCACCTGTAGATAAATAACTATCACCAATTTCTCAAAAAAAATTTTGGAATCATTCTCATAATGTCCTGAAAAACTGAAAACGTAAACTAGGTTCAGAAATAGTAAATACATACAAAACACTGATTCTGGTATTGTGATCATTCAACACTAGATTTACATTGACAATACAAAAAGAAAAATTTACCCCTACAACAAAATATATAGGTGAGTACATGTTCAACCATACCTTCGATGCTATACACAGGTACTTGAAAAAACGTTGGTGAGAAGACCAAAACTGTCCCCACATAGACTTTTTCATTCCCTTCTCTGCATTAATTAACTCAGACGCCTCTTGGAACTTTTGCCGTGCATCTACCCACTGTAAAGAAACAGCAGCAGGTTATTAATCACAGGGTGAACATTATAATGATCAATTAAAAAAGTAAATAATGATTAAAACATACATCATGGTGATACTGCCATACCACATTATTACCAACATTTTGTAACAAGTTAACCAATGAAAGCTGAGCCAATGAACAGAGACCATATTAAAGTTACAAACATATGGAATGGAAAAGGAATACAGCACCAAACCTCAATTTAATTTTTTTCTAATTAAATTATGTTTCAACATGATATTCATAGTTCTGAGGACTGTATATTGTTAAATTTTATAACTTAACAAAGTTACAGTGTAGTATTTTCAAATTAATAACAGTTAAGACAAAACAATCTTGAATGCTACAAAACTCTTAGCAAAAGTTTATAACTTAACTTGTTCACTCATCACCCCAATGAGTAAATTGACAGTAACAGCAATGTTTACATGTAATTATCTGCAAGATCCTCCAATGTCGGAATACGCTTGGCAAATGATTGCAATTTACTAACTAATGAAAAATAACAAAGCTAATAGAAAATACAAACAAGAATTACTCACCAATTTTACTGAATCATCATACATTTGTTTAAAATCTTCATCTAAAGGAACTTCATCTATTCTGAAAGTTACTCCGTGGAAGCTTAACTGACGAGCAATGTACATTCCACGAAGTTTTAAGTCCATGGCCACTATTTCCATGGCACCAACTCCCCTAGAAAAATACAAAACTTTGAAATAAAATACAATAATGAAAACAGACAAAAAAATGTTTATGTGAAATGGAGAATTCTAGATAGGGTAAGCCTTTAGAAATATTAGTTAGTTCCATAGGGCAGCCATGTCAATGGCCCAAAACATCAGTCATTTCAAGGATATACAAAAATAAAGTAATTATGTAGAAAGTAAGTTTTATTTGACAAAAAAGTATTCTTTGCATGTAGTGATAAAATTAATAAAAAACTGAAACTGAATATTAACCAAATAATGCTAAATGCTGGCACACTGGTAAGGTAAAATATTGCATTGGGTAAATAACATAATTTCTTAGCAGAATTAAAGTTTTTCCAACCAAGAGCCACTTGAAAAACCCCACAACATACAGCTAATTCACGTCATTTGGATGATACTAAACAATGATTTATAACTGAATGATAAGGGTAAGAAAAAATATTGCAAGTGAATTAAAGTAAAACAAACTCAAAATTGATCAAGATCTTTGGTTAAGGTATGACACTATTTTTGAGGCTTCAAGATTTTTGACTGATTTTCACATTTTTCCTTTGCTATGCAGTGGCCCAAAAATTCTTAACTTCATTACCCAAATCCCTTCACAGGAGATGCTTTGATAACGGTGAAAGGCAATTCGAGCTGCCTCCATTTTCCCTCAAACCTGCCTGCCTCTCATTTCCCAGGTGCCATATGATCCCTGTGAATTTAGCATTTCCCCATGAATATCATGCTGCTAATAATACTACTTTTTTTTTTTTTTTTAAATATTGGCTGTTTCCCACTGAGGTAGAGGGGCCCAAAAAAGAAGAAACACTTTCATCATCATCGTTCATTCCATCACAGTCTTCCCAGAGGTGAGCCTACATTACAGTTAAAAAACTGCAACACATCTTCACCCTCCTTCAAAATGTAGGCATTGTACTTCCCACCTCCAGGGCTCAAGTCTGGCTAACCAGTTTCCCTGAATCCCTTCATAAATGCTACTCTGCTCATGCTCCAACAGCACTTCAAGTCATAAAAACCATTTGCCTCCACTAGTTCCTATCTAACACACTCCTGCACACTTGCCTAAGTCTAAGCCCCTCGCATACAACACCTCCCTTACCCCCCTCCCTCCAACCTCTCCTAGGACAACCCCTACCTCGCCTTTCTTCCACTACAGATTAATACGCTCTCCAAGTTATTCCTCAGAAAGGCCCTGCTTTTTGGCGTTTCACTCTACGGTGTTTCGCTAATACGGACATTCCAAATTATGACTAAAACTCGCTATATGGCTCCCCCCACATGACTTTCTAATACAGTCACCCCACCCCACCCAGTTTGTTTACATTCTGCATGAGCACCGTGTCTTTCCAATATGTCTGGAAACTTTCCAAAATTTCAAGTGTTTTTAAAAGTTATTTCATATTTTATATATACTCTGATAATTATACTTGTGTGTACCTGTACCAAAATAAACTTACACACTGTGCTAGCATGCAGGTACACATTAAAATCAGTAAGAGTGTCTTATGTCTCGAGATGCCATATTAATAATAATAATGATAATAATAATCACTGAGGCACATTAAATGTCGTATATTACGTTAATATACACATTTTCATTAATCCATCCATGATATTTTTTCAAAATTATATAATAAATACACTATATAACATATAAACCTAATAAATACGCCCCACAGTAGAAAAATTAACATAAACATGAGATGTGGTAGCCGGGCAACTTGTAGGAGTTAAGGCAAGAATAAAGTTTTCTCAAGTCCAACATCAGAGAAAATGTGTACACTATAATATTACTGGGGATAACTGTAAAAAAAATTATTTCTTTCATATGCCTTCATTCAGAGCATCATTTCTTCTAAAAAATGGTGTTACATGAGAATGGAAGTGTTGCTCTTTATTTATTCTACTGTATCAACATGGAGACAACTTGTACACATTGTAAAGTGTTTGTATTATGGTATAATACTTACTGAACCAAAACCAGATGCATTTGCCTGGTTTGTTTACATAACTCCAAGTCTGTCCTCTCTCATGTACTCGTGTTCGTTCGTTCAGTCTGTCACTCTCTGTGTGTGTGTGTGTGTGTGTGTGTGTGTGTGTGTGTGTGTGTGTGTGTGTGTGTGTTGTGTGTGGTGTGTGGTGTGTGTGTGTCTTGTGTGTGTGTCTTGTGTGTGTGTCTTGTGTGTGTGTGTGTCTTGTGTGAGTGTGTGTCTTGTGTGTGTGTGTGTCTTGTGTGTGTGTGTGTCTTGTATGTGTGTGTGTCTTGTGTGTGTGTGTGTGTGTGTGTCTTGTGTGTGTGTGTCTTGTGTGTGTGTGTCTGTGTGTGTGTGTGTGTGTGTCTGTGTGTGTCTGAGTGTGTGTGTCTGTGTTTGTGTGTGTCTGTGTTTGTGTGTGTCTGTGTTTGTGTGTGTCTGTGTCTGTGTGTCTGTGTGTGTGTGTGTCTGTACTCACCTAGTTGAGGTTGCAGGGGTCGAGTCCAAGCTCCTGGCCCCGCCTCTTCACTGGTCGCTACTAGGTCACTCTCCCTGAACCATGAGCTTAATCGTACCTCTGCTTAAAGCTATGTATGGATCCTGCCTCCACTACATTGCTTCCCAAACTATTCCACTTCCTGACTACTCTGTAGCTGAAGAAATACTTCCTAACATCCCTTTGATTCATCTGTGTCTTCAGCTTCCAACTGTGTCCCCGTGTTGCTGTGTCCAGTCTCTGGAACATCCTGTCTTTGTCCACCTTGTCATTCCCTCTCAGTATTTTGTAAGTCGTTATCATGTCCCCCCTATCTCTCCTGTCCTCCAGTGTCGTCAGGTTGATTTCCCTTAACCTCTCCTCATAGGACATACCTCTTAACTCTGGGACTAGTCTTGTTGCAAACCTTTGCACTTTCTCTAGTTTCTTTACATGCTTGGCTAGGTGTGGGTTCCAAACTGGTGCCGCATACTCCAATATGGGCCTAACGTACACGGTGTACAGGGTCCTGAACGATTCCTTATTAAGATGTCGGAAAGCTGTTCTGAGGTTTGCCAGGCGCCCATATGCTGCGGCAGTTATTTGGTTGATGTGCGCTTCAGGAGATGTGCCTGGTGTTATACTCACCCCAAGATCTTTTTCCCTGAGTGATGTTTGTAGTCTCTGGCCCCCTAGACTGTACTCCGTCTGCAGTCTTCTTTGCCCTTCCCCAATCCTCATGACTTTGCACTTGGTGGGATTGAACTCCAGGAGCCAGTTACTGGACCAGGTCTGCAGCCTGTCCAGATCCCTTTGTATTTCTGCCTGGTCTTCGATCGAATGAACTCTTCTCATCAACTTCACGTCATCTGCAAACAGGGACACCTCGGAGTTTATTCCTTCCGTCATGTCGTTCACAAATACCAGAAACAGCACTTTGTGAGACAGGACTAGAGTGACTCTCAAGGTGGTCCTAGTGGCATTAAGAAACAGAGAAGAGAAGCAACCCCAGAGAAGCAAATGGTACCTGAGGTGTTGCTGGAAGGGGATTCTCTTCCAAACTGTAAACAATCCAATCTCTCTCCTCCTTCAGTCTCCCATACACTAAGAAGAATCTCCAATAAAGGTAAGTGTTATGCTGTTAATGTTTCATTCATCATTTCCCATTGTATTGCTTATGTACTACATGTATATTTCATGTAAAAATTTTTTTGTTTTAATACTTCTGGGTGTCAGGAACGGATTAATTGTATTTACATTATTTCTTATGGGGAAAATTGATTTGCAAATAGTAAATTTCGTTTATAGTAGCTCCTCCAGGAACGGATTAATTACGAAAAACGAGGGACCACTGTATTTTAAGGCAAGTAATGAGTGTACTATATGTGTATTTCACTTTTTATTGTTTTTCTAATGCCTAATTCAATTGATAATTTGATATATGTATGTTACTTTTGTTTAATAAATGTATGAAAGAGGGGAAGGTACCTAGGGATTGGTGGAGAGCATGTATAGTCCCTTTATATAAAGGGAAAGGGGACAAAAGGGACTGTAAAAATTATAGAGGAATAAGTTTACTGAGTATACCAGGGAAAGTGTACGGTAGGGTTATAATTGAAAGAATTAGAGGTAAGACAGAATGTAGGATTGTGGATGAGCAAGGAGGTTTCAGAGTGGGTAGGGGATGTGTAGATCAAGTGTTTACATTGAAGCATATATGAGAACAGTATTTAGATAAAGGTAGGGAAGTTTTTATTGCATTTTTGGATTTAGAAAAGGCATATGATAGAGTGGATAGAGGAGCAATGTGACAGATGTTGCAAGTATATGGAATAGGTGGTAAGTTATTAAATGCTGTAAAGAGTTTTTATGAGGATAGTGAGGCTCAGGTTAGGGTGTGTAGAAGAGAGGGAGACTACTTCCCGGTAAAAGTAGGTCTTAGACAGGGATGTGTAATGTCACCATGGTTGTTTAATATATTTATAGATGGGGTTGTAAAGGAAGTAAATGCTAGGGTGTTCGGGAGAGGGGTGGGATTAAATTTTGGGGAATCAAATTCAAAATGGGAATTGACACAGTTACTTTTTGCTGATGATACTGTGCTTATGGGAGATTCTAAAGAAAAATTGCAAAGGTTAGTGGATGAGTTTGGGAATGTGTGTAAAGATAGAAAGTTGAAAGTGAACATAGAAAAGATTAAGGTGATGAGGGTGTCAAATGATTTAGATAAAGAAAAATTGGATATCAAATTGGGGAGGAGGAGTATGGAAGAAGTGAATGTTTTCAGATACTTGGGAGTTGACGTATCGGTGGATGGATTTATGAAGGATGAGGTTAATCATAGAATTGATGAGGGAAAAAAAGGTGAGTGGTGCGTTGAGGTATATGTGGAGTAAAAAAACGTTATCTATGGAGGCAAAGAAGGGAATGTATGAAAGTATAGTAGTACCAACACTCTTATATGGGTGTGAAGCTTGGGTGGTAAATGCAGCAGCGAGGAAACGGTTGGAGGCAGTGGAGATGTCCTGT